AATGATAATTTTTTTTTATTGTAAGTTTCATTTTATTAAAAGTAATAAATTTTAATTTAATTTACATAATATACATGTGTATATGAGGTGCAATAAGAGATGAAAAGGTTACCTTTATTGTGCAACTGACGTAAAAAGATAAAAAATGACGTCGCCGTAACCATAGCCTTTGGTCACCGACTTCCTCAGTCAATTGTCTCCAGCAACGGTGGTTGACGCCGGCTGGCTGTCTGACTCATCGTTCTGTTCTTTTTAACTTATAAGAATAAAGAATCAAATTCAATTCCTGAATAGATTAAATTTATCTTACCTTTATTCTCCTATCCTTTTCTGCATCTGGGTGTTCTATTATTCTGTTCTCCAACTTGATTTTCTTTTCCAAATTTCGAAATTGGAATTATGAATGGAGAATTCAGTTCCGGCATACCCCACTAATTTGCCAATTGCCGTCGATCTGTTCGTGTCGAAGAAGCATCCTGGTCTTCCACGTGGCGTTCTGGGTTTCGCCGATTCCACCGGAAAGATCTTGTTTACCGTCAATCGTCCCTCCTCCAAATCATCCCCTACCACCAAAAAAGTCCTACTCGATTCTGCCGGAAATCCTCTTATCTCCGTCTGCCGCCACCAGGTTAGTCTCTATTTCTCCCTTCCCCTCTCCTTTCTCTGCTTCCATAGAAAATATAAATAATTTAGCTTGAAAGGTATTGTTTTTCCCTCTTCTTCTTCAGGCTTCTAATGTGGCTGTTAGTAAAACTACTACAATTACAATCACTCACTATGTACATCCAATAAAGGTATAGGAAATGATAATTTTGGTTTTTGAGTAAATGAACAAGTTCACCAGAAGAGAAAATCAGGAAAGGAATTGGGAAAGCTTCAGTCTTTTTCAATTTCTCAATATGCCTGCCATTATCTATATAGACAAGGAAGAAAGGAATCGAACAATTAGACCCTTAGCTTCTTAAACAATATTGGTTGGTTTTCCTATTTTGTTACAATAAGGCATAGCTTTTCATCTTCAATCTTTCCTAGAGATTATAATTTTTATATTTGGGGAAAAGGTTTGAATTGTTTTAGACTTTAGAGTTAGTTTACTAGAAGTAATGCAATTTATTTCTTTCTTTCTGTGGTATAGGGTGGATCCTGGGAAGGTTTTAGAGGTGATGATGCTGATAACAACTTGTTATTCAGAGTGGAGAGGACACGAAATCAATTCACTAGAACTGAGTTGGAGGTGTTTCTGGATGGAGTAAATAGGGAAGACTCCTCCCCGGATTTCAAGGTTAGAGGTTGTCGCTTCCAAAGGTCGTGTTTCATATATAGAGGTGATACAATTGTGGCTCAGGTAAAATTATCAGTTACCAATTTTTTATCTGCTGCATTGGGTGGATGTTTAAGCCTGTTGATTGCCTTCTGTATTAGATACTGTTTCCAGTGTTATTTCTAGTTCTAAGCATCCCTAAACTCCTCCGTGATGAATATTGCTTTTTCTGGAATCTGGATATTTTTGTGGATGTTTGCCTCTCGCCCGTGGTAAAAGTAGCTTCATTTATATAAGAGGTCATAAGCTATGATTTGAAGAATACATTAGGTGCAGAAACTAAACTCTGAAACTTCATATATACTGAAATTCCTGATGATGTATTTATATTATCTGGCCATTTTAATGCAAATTGCCAGAGCAATTAACTCTCCTTTTTCCTGTTGATAGATGTTTTGGCTTGCTTTTAATGAATGTGAATCAGGTCAATCACCGTTTGCATTGTTTTACCGACTTGAACCCAAGTCAACATAAAAGGACTAGCTTCTATGGACCTTTTCAGTTCAGCATGAGTACAACTCTTTTGCTTTTACTATAAAGTGAAATCAGTAACTTTGGAATGGATCACGTTTTCATTTGAGGGTCTATATTTGCAACAATCAATTGCAAGCATGGTTTCCTTGGATGGTACTGAATCTTGAAGTTTACTGATATATTGTGTTGAAAACATCTTCCAACATAACAGATCACTTTTCCTTAATTGTTAATGGGTTTAAACTAACAATGTTATGGTAACTTATGCTTTGGTACATCTTATATCATTTCTATCTGCTGTAATTTGGTCTTTAGTAACAAAATTTGAAAACTTTTGCTGGTTCTCTGTGATAAATTCTTATTTGTCTTGGGATTTTCTTTGATGCAGACTAGTCTTATGTACAAGCTTCATCAGATTTACGCCGGGAGAAGTAAATTTCGAGTAACCTTATTTCCAGGGTCTAATGATATTGATTTGTTACTGGCCTTGGTCGTGATTTTCCTTGATGGACGAAAGTAGCAACTATACCTTTTTGTCTTGGGACATGAGATTGAGGAATTTGTTGTATTTTTCAGCCCACAGGAACCAAAAAAAAGAAAAAAGAAAAAAAAAAGGATTAATTTTTCATGCATTTTGGCCCCCTTTTTGGTGAAGGGCAAGGCTCAGGATTTGGATATGGGACCAAATACTTGGTAGTGAATAATTGTCAAAACTGTTCTAATAAACGTTTCTTTTCTGTCGAGTACTCATAAAATGTGGTCTAATATTTTTTTATGCACCTGAAGTGTATTACGCAATTCTAATGAGCGGTTGTGATGAAGTTGCTGAAACTGTGAATGATGCAAATACTGCAAGCATGGCTTATCAATCCAGTAAACATGGCTTCACTAGCTGGAGCTATATATATGTGGTTTTACGCTCTATCTTCTTGCTTATGTCAGGACAGCAGGTGGTTTACTGACTCATGAGACAGCTACCTCATTGTTGATTGAATCTTTACAAGAGCAGCATGGTACGGTCCTCTTTAATTGCAAACCAACTGCCTCTGGTGTGTATGATTATAATTTTTTAACATTGATTTTTTCTGTTTCTTGCAAACTTTTTGTTCCTATATTTGATAAATATTAACTAGACTTAAAAAGAATCATGTTGTAGTAATGCAAATTTGTTTTTGAACGCGGAGGAAAGAAAAGGCCAATATTGCTAAAGAGAACTTCTCTGTTATTGTTGGCGTTAAGCAAATCAGCGAACAAAAGGCTGTTGGTACGTATGCACAGGATGAGACAGAAACGGATCTACGGCCTCTTATCCCTTTTGAGATCGGCGGATGTTGGTTCTAGTCCGTAATCAGGTCCGAACCATCTGTTAATGTTTTCGTACGTACATGTTCCATTTTTTCAGTCATACGTTATGTGGATTTGCTGTGCCCCTGACCTGATGCAGAATGGAGCTTTAGCTGAACTGAAGCCCCTAATAATATGGAGCCGCAATTTTGACAATGAATTTAGGTGTGCCCATCTATTGGGTTCATACCTTGACAGTCATTTCTAATCATTCAGCTTTAACAAGATTATTGAGAATTTAGTAATAACACGGATTTTGATGAGGAAAAATGGATCAAATATTCCTCTAGTATGGAGCTACAGGATGCCGAGCCAACAACATATGCTACATTATTATCAGGCAGCAACCCTTGTTTTCTGGGTATTCATTCATGACTACAACAGAAAAACAATGTCTCTCAGGAGGATCCAAAAAGGTGAGAGAAAAATTGAAAATGAAAATCAAATCAAAATAAGATAAAGGGGAGAAGCGATGAGAATGAATCAGCGACTCCAAAAACGTATGTCCTTCAAAAATTTGAATTATCTTTGTATTCACTGCTGCATCAAAGGAACTAACGATCTAATTTCTGACCCGTTTCCATTGGATAAGAAGTATATTTTCTTCCAGTTTTCATCTGAGAACACCTCTCGGCGCACTAACCTTTGCCTGCCACATATAACAACACATTTTACATTTGAAGTTCTAAAATAACATATCCATAAATTAGAGGCATGATCAATCATGGAGTATGGTGAAAAAAAACGAAAAGGGGTTTTGCATTAAATGTTTCAAGAAGTAGAACAAGTACGATAGCATTGCAATTTTGGAAAACATATAACTGGCGCACCTAAGGTAGTAGTAGCAAACAGTTTCTGCCTCATCTAAAGTATAGCGGGGGAAATTAACACGGGCATCTACTGGAACTTCTGGCAGGTCTGCTCGTAGCTTGCCTACTGCAGTTGAATGAGAGAAAGCACCCACCATCATGTCATCATGCATCATGGACCTAAAAGCATTCACCTGGAGATATGAAGTTGATTACATTCAGGAGAAACCAACACCAAATGCCTGATATTTCTCTCCGGGGAGACCACAAGCTGCTAAAACGCACTAAGACACAAAATCCAAAAATGAAACTGAAAATGAAAGGAACAGAGAGTCACCCACCATTGCAAGTTCTCTAGCATGCACGGGTCTATGAGAACGAACACTCACCGGCTCCTCATACTCACTGAATGTAAACCAGTTGTTGTACTGCAGATTCACAAGAACAACAAATCAGGAAGACATGGCTGCCAATTATAAACAGTAGTGTCTGACTCCTAGGCTACACTAAATATAAAGCCCTTTTAGCATAAGCATTAAGCAGGTGCACTCACTTGGTCAATTGCAATAAGTACAGGAATATCTTTCACGAGTGATAACTCTTTCCTCAATCTAACTACAACTCCAACAGCTGCTTGTGTGTACTGGATTCCCATTTGAACCAGGTCATATAGACTTGAACCTTCAGGAAGTGCCATGGATTCAACCCCTTTCATCAATCCAACACCAGCACCTTCTCCCAGTGGAATAGGATCAAAGATTTGGCATGGTAATTGTTGTAACCGCCCCTCATTGTACTTCAAGAAATCCTGCAGAAGACTAAATCATGAGTAATAAAGGGCAAAAGAAAAGAAAAATGCAACTTAGGAGGTGCTGAAAATCACAGGCCTGGAATAAAATCCTCCACCCTGCAAATGCCACCTGCTCCCCCACCCATACCAAGAAAAAGGAAAAAAAAAAGCTAGGAAAAAGAAAGAAAACTAGTATTTTGGGGGAAGAGGCTATTGCCTTGAGAACATTTTCAGCCTGTAAAGGAGTGTCCCAAAGACCAGTTTCCGGATTTTTATAAAAAAACCCTCCATGAGTCCATTCACGGCCTTTAGGTACATATAAAACCAGCCAACCCTCATCACGAGCCCAATAAACAAGCATTGCAAGGGCAATACTCTTTCCACAGCTAACAGGACCATCCAGGACAATCTGTTTTCTAACTTTAGGACCTGAAAAGGTTTAACACCAGTGTAAATAAGTCCCATAAATGCTCCTACAAGAAGCCCTACAGTCTCCAACATTCAGATGTAATCTTCCAAAAAAAAACCAAAAAGGCAAGAAACACAGAAAGTTTAATTCTCATACTTATTAGATTGATGCTAACAGGGAGAAATCTCATTCAACTTTGGTCATGACAATAAACACAAGCATAGTTTCAATACCACATCAAAAACCAAGACTTTTCAAAAACAATGACTACCACCAAGTTTCACGTTTTTGGATTCAAAACAAACAAAATTACCACATAGAATTAGACAAAAGGCCACACCTTTGCCCGGAGAAGACCACATTGGGGGATCAACTACGTGTCTAAAATTATCTCGAAGATCTAAGAAACTCTGTCTAATTAGCAATGCCGGCCGCATCGACTCCTTGAACTCCTCAATCATCCCCTGCGACAACCCCTCTGGTAACACTGCCTTCAGTCTCTCCTCACTTCAGCCACAACACCATAAACAACCATCCGTGAACAAAAGGTATGCGGAACACATTAAAGATCCAGCACTTTTAAGTAACCAATCCGTATGTACTTCAGGCATACTCAAACGTACCTGAACTTGAAATAGGAGCAGGCATCCTTGCGCGTGAGCTGCGAGAGTGAGGGAGTGGAGGTGAAGAGGGGGCGGTTGTTGGCACCCACATCGAGAGAAGGGTCCTTGTCGTCCTGAGCCAAGTTACGGGCGCGAGCAGCCTGGAAGTCATTGGCAGAGGCGGATAGGAAATCATCCGAACCAGCGACTGCTGCGGAGTCAGTGGATTTGGACTTGGACTTGGCGCTGGCTTTCTTGGCCTTGGCGTCAAATGGTTTGGGGTTCTTGGAAGAATAAAACTGTGATTGAAGATAGGTTAGATGATGCAATGAAGATTGGGGATAAAGGTTCGAGCTTGCCGCTCTTCTGAGAACAGACCGTAGCATTTCCTCCTCCTGTCCGTGTTTTGCAGCACCAGAGGCTTTAGGGAAGTTGAAGAAGAAACAAGAAAGTGAAAGTGGGTTCTACTGCTTGCCTCGTACGAAGCGATTTGACGATTTTTTTATGTATGTGTTTTGCAGCCCATACCTATATTAGCATCAAGGCTCAAGACACCACCCATATAGGCCCAAGCTCAACATTTCAACCCCTTCCCCAGTACCCACTACCCACAACAAAAAGGGCCCAGACACCCAGAGGCCCAATAATCATCCCAGTGTCTGTGACTCTGTGTGGTTGACCTTTGAGCCATAACCGGAATAATAAGATGGAAGAGAAGGAAGGAAAGAGAAATTTTTTTCAATTTAAATATATTATAACTTAAAATTTATTTAAATGTAAATTTCATACATTATATTTATATTAAATTTTTATTTTTTATTTTTAATAATTAAAATTTGTTATATTTTTTAAATAAAAACAATTAATTTTAATAAATATAATAAAATATAAAATTTTTATATAAATATAATATATAAAATTTATATATAATTGAACTCATATTTTTTTTCGGCCGTTAGTAGTTCTATATGGTATAGAGCCGAATAGAGGGCAACAACCTACTTTAGCCTATCATTTTATCAAATTTGAAAGTTTTACTCTCTTATCTTATATTATGATACTTTTAATCCTTCGCCTTACTAGATTTATAGGTTCTTGTCCATCACCTATTAAAATTGAAGGAAATAACCCTTATTTTATACTAACTGTTAATTCTGTTAGCTAAAAGTAGATTTTTATCAACTAACAGTCAACTAATAGTCAATTAACAGAATTAATGAAGTATTATAAAATTAGTTCTGTTAACTCTATTAGCTAAAAGAATGTTTTTAACAACTAACAATCAGTTAATCGAGTTAACAGTCAGCTAATAGAATTAACAAAATGTTATAGAGTTGAGGTTATTTTCTTCAATTTTAATAGGTGAGGGGTTAAAAGTGTCATAGTATAAGGTGAGGGGCTAAAACTTACAAATCTAGTAAGGTGAGGGGTTAAAAATGTTATAATATAAGATTATGGGTTAAAACCTTCAAATTTGGTAAGATGAGGGGCCAAAAGTAAGCTTTTACCCGAATAGAGTGGGCCGAAGGGAGGAAATAGTGAAAAGGAAAAGCATCTTGGGCCACCCCAGTCACTTAATGGAGGTCGGGGCCTGAAAAGGTCTTTGACTTCCCAAATTAAGGGACTGGTAAAAGCCCAATAGAGGTGGGTGAGGGCACCGTCCATTGCGATGCAGATCGATTTCCTCTTCCTGGGCACTGAGAAACTTCGATAGAAGAAAGAAGTGTCGTCCGTTCCTTCTCTGTCGCTCGGTGTTGCTTTGCGAAGATGCTGTCCGGCGATATACCTCCGAGTCAAACTATCTACATCAAGAACCTCAATGAGAAGATCAAAAAAGAAGGTACAAAATCTTCTTCAATTAATTCCTTGTGTTCTTTTTTTTTTTTCTCTGCCTGCGGCTTTCGCTTTTGTTTGGTTGCTCAGAAATCAAAAGAAATTAAGAGAAAATATTAGTTGTTAGGTCATGAAACATAGCTATTTCGCTATAAGGTATGCTTGGTTGAAGTGGGGATGTTCTTTTAAGTTTGGGGTTTTAAGTGGCAGTGACTACTAGGGTTTAATGAAAAACGCATAAATGTCTTTGTTTTGCGTTGATGATAAAGAGCCTGACATAGTCTTATCGGATTGAGTTGGGTTTCATACTTTTGAATGGGAAGCTTAGTCCGGTTTATGATGGGTTGAAAGACAGGTTGGTTGGTGTTATCATAGCTGGATGACATTTTTTCTCTTCAAAAATAAGTTCCAATGCTGTTGCCTTCTCTGCTTTCAACTTTGATACTTCTACGCCTAGATAGCTTTTTTCTGTGCATTTGTTACTGTAAAATCAGATTGTTTTTTTTAATAAAATGGAAGCAAGAATATTTTGCAGTGTTCCATATTCTTCTTGGGACTTTTAGATATTTTATTTTTCTAAACATGACTTAATAACTTAATTTTTTTGTTGAAATCATTGAATTGATTTGACATCAATCAGTTTCCCCCTTTTTTCAGAATTGAAGAGATCCCTTTATTGTTTGTTCTCGCAATATGGAAGGATCTTGGATGTTGTTGCCTTGAAGACACCAAAGCTCCGTGGACAAGCATGGATTGTTTTTAGTGAACTGACAGCTGCCAGTAATGCATTTCGACAAATGCAAAATTTTCCTTTCTATGATAAACCTATGGTGAGTCTTAGTAACCTTGGTTGTGTAATTGGTTGCCTGTATATTTTCTTGTTTTAATGTCTGAACATTTCGTGCTATCTTTTTTACTCTGGGAGTTAAGCTGTACCAACTTATTTTATTTCTTTTACTTTCAAATATTCTAGGTGTTCTCTTTCTAATTATCTCGCAAGATAAAATGAGTGCCAAGAGTAATGGTAGTCTTTGTTGAGTTTCTTCACTTGGTGGAATTGCATTTACTAGGAAGATTATGAATCACCTTTTTCAAATCATGAAAGTTTCATCATTAATTTTGTGATATATATATATATATATACATACATATATATTTATATTCTCATTGTTATTATTGCATTTGGGAAAACCATATTTCATTAAAGCTGTGAACAGAATGTTATGTGCATAGAAGCCTATGATCCTTTTTCTTGAATTAAATATTGTTTATTATTCAACTTTTACTAGATTTTGACTTTAATCCAGTTGGTGTTTCTTCTTTTGGATGAAGACCTAGTTGGCCACAAGGCTGAAAGCAAATTCTTTAATCTAGTCTAGCATACCACTTTGATAATGTGATATTGACAACTCAAACAACAGCTTATCTTATATTTCTTGTATCAAATATCTAATCTAATTATCAAGCCAGTATGAGGGGCCATTCCAGATGCATCCATCTTCTGAGGACAACTACCTCCAATTGCTAACTTTAAGTACAATTTTGCATCATCTGCAGCTGTACTCAATTTTTCGTGCTTGTTATTATGTATAATGTTAGTTGGGAATGATGTTTGAATAGAATATGATTAATTTGGTGCAGAGGATACAATATGCAAAAATGAAGTCAGACTGTATTGCCAAAGCAGATGGAAGCTATGTTCCAAGAGAAAAGAAGAAGAAGCAAGAAGAAAAAGGTGACCAAACTCATACCTCTTTTTTGGCCAAAGACCTCATAACTCTAATGGTTTGTTATATTATATTTGAAGATGGCTATGAGCTCACATTACCATGTCAAGGGTGTTAAGGTTTTAGTGTACTCGGTAAAGGTTAACCTTATCCTTGAACATTTTATCATTGTCATATATGGAAAGTATTCTATGGATTTGATTTCACCATTGAACCTTCATATATGGAAAACAATGGCATGGAGGATTAAATTGTTGGATGCTCGTATCTTTTGTGAATTTAATTAAGAGACTGAATTAATTAATTGATTCAGCTGCCTCTGTTTATTATCTGATAGTCTTTTAATATGACCTGAATTTTTAGCTGAAAGAAAGCGACGTGCTGAAGAAGCAGCACAATCTGCTATGGCTAATGGGGCAGCTACTCAAACTAATGGAGGTCCAAATGTAAGTCTGTTTCTCAATATAATATATAAGTGCTTCCTCCTCCCCTAAAAATGGTCTTTTCTCTGTTTTTTTTTTCTTCTTATAGCATATGATTGCATGGAATGGAAGTGTATTCCTTGTAAATCCTCTCATGTTTCCATGAACCATACCTTGCTACTACTGTCTTAGGTCATCTTTCCAATAAGATTTGATTACCAAAATGCCAGTAAAATGATGATGAATTCCATTATGATGTCCAGGCTTCCTTCCGCCAAGGGAACACAAACGCACAGGAGCAAGCTGCACCGAACAATATTCTCTTCATACAGAATTTACCTCACGAGACTACCAGCATGATGCTGCAATTGCTTTTTGCACAGTATCCAGGCTTCAAAGAAGTCCGGATGATCGAAGCAAAGCCAGGTATTGCCTTTGTCGAGTACGAAGATGAAGACGAGTCAGCTGTAGCCATGCAGGCCCTTCAAGGTTTTAAGATCGCCCCCCAATTTCCCATGGCCATTTCTTTCGCCAAGAAGTAATCAACACTTGATTTCTGTCTGTACTTGTTTTGGCATTCAGAGAGTATTTGAAAACGAAAATGTATCAATTTCCCAAGTGGAGATAGATATTGTTAGAACTTAGAAGGGTTTGACTGTTACAGCATTTTATGTTTCCCAGTTGCTAATGGTACAAGGGGTTGTTTATTTGCTGGCAGAACACGATTGGTTGGCCTGGATCAATCATTGTTTGCATAAGTTATTTTTTTTATTAATCTCCTGTTGCAATATTAATATTTATAAGCATTTTAAATTTTAATTAATTTAAAATTAAGTTATGTTGAATTTTATTAAAAAATAATTTTACTATATTTATTTTTTTATTTACAAAATTTCAAGTCAAAATCTTAAAAAAAAGGGAATCTATCTCTTTCTATTCCAATCACATGCCGATGCTATTTTTTTTGCTCAAGTGTAACAGGAAAAAGTTGAGAACTTTGACGAGGTGTAAGCTGGACGAGCTTGCTCAAAGTCTCAGACAACATGGACCCTCTTGGACATTTGTTGGCGTCGGATTGCAGCGTGTCGTTACGCTCCATAGAATAGAAGTGGCGTGAAAGGATAAACGTACAAAATTTAGGTACGTTAAATTAAAGTGGGAGGCAATAATCTATTAACCGTACCAGGTCCATGTGCACTTTGAATCTGTCCTTCCTCATATACTCACTTCCCCATATAAGCCTCTTTCTTTGTGTTTAATCAGCCAAATAAGTCCTCGTTATTTCATCATGTTCCCAAATTGACCTTCCCCTAGTCATTCACTTCCCAACATGTGGCTTCAGAAGGAACTAGATAGCTGAAAAAAATTAGATCACCAAATCACCTATTATTTATTTTTTCACATCTCTCACTAGCATGTTAAGTCATTCAAAATGAAAATAAATTTATTGATAATTTTTGTTAGCATTAGTTGCTTCTATCAAACAAGTGAAAAATGTTGTTTTGTATGTTTTGCAAGGTGGAAAGATTACTCCTATTGTTTGAGAGAAAAAAAAAAATCACTTTCCTTTAAAAAGAATCCAAGAAAATTAAAACGTATTAACAATTAAAATATTATAAATAATAATAAAAAGATTAAAAGAT